TAAGAAAACGAATTACATAATCATGTTCACGATATTGACGAATGGATGCAAGAGCACCACATGAACAAGGAATTGCACAACAACAATCGGTAATGGGGCGATAAGTCTCAAGTTTATCCCACATTACTTTCAACTGTGTAAAGTAATTGGAGACATCAAGAGTACCTTGGCGGAATTTATACAGATCTTCTTGAATGTCAGAGATTCTGAATATATCACCATGAGAGAAGCGAATTTGCAGATTTTTCCACACGCCAGCTGTAGTATCAATCCATAGAACAAATTTAGCGATGGAATCTGAAATGGATCGATGAATCCATGCTAAGACCATTGTATTGCAACGTATCCATGGAGCGTAAAGGGGATCAGAAACGGGAGGTTTCTTGATGGTGTCATCTATGAAACGTTCTTTTTTCTTGGAAATCAATGTGATATGCATTGATCTTTCCCAGGTATGATAGTTCTTATCGTCGAGCAAGGGTGAAACAAGAACAAGAGACGAATTTTTGCTCGGATGAAGATAAAATGGATTCATAGAGTTTGTGGAAAAATCGTTGTAACTCTGGTATGCCATCAGAAGAGAAAAGTGAAAGAGAAAAGCAAACGAAGAGAAAGATTGTGAAACTGAGGAAGAACTTAAACGAGCAAGAAGAAAGAAAGAAAAGTTCACAATCAAGGAAAGGTTCGCAACAATGGCTACCAGAACGGTTCTTGCTCTGATACCATGTGAATTGTGATAACCTCACCTTGGTGATACATAGAAAGGAAGAAGAAGAAGACTAAAACAGATGAAAAGTATAACAGAAAACAGTTATGCTATTGCAGTATAGCTTCTTCATTAATTGAGAAAAATACAGGATACACTGAGATATACTCCCTCCGTTTCTTTTTAAGTGTCATTTTAGCATAAAGCTCTTCAACCAAGATAGTGGATTATTAGAGTTATTTTTCCTATTATACCCTCATTTATTTTCTCTTTCCAAATAAATTCAATCATATACTACCTCTCTTTTTTCAATAACTAATTGAGAAAATAATTAATTTTATGAAAAATATGAAGTGGAGTTATTGAGAAAGTAGAGATATAATTGACAAATAATAACATTAAACTATAAAAACGACACTTAAATAGAAACAAAAAAATTCTTCTAAAATGACACTTAAAAAGGAATGGAGGAAGTATATAAAAAGGGATAAATATTAGAAATGGGTGGATATCCATAAGAGACAAAACAACATACGTGGCATCCCTTGATAGACTAAGCTCCAACAGAATATAAAGACACTATCTTATCTATATACAGGAATATTAACACTAAGTTCAATAGATTGACAGACTAACAATGGATAAACCACATTAAATCAACAAATAAATAAATGTATCACAATTCAAAGTTCTATTTATGCTATATATTTCATCATGAAGAAAACAATTAAAGTTTTATATTTTTTTATCTAAATAGTGAAGTAAAACCCAAGCTACAATTAAGCGCATCACGTTACTTTAGCCATTACCATAAAATCTGCATGTTAAGTTAAGATGTACCTGATCCATGGACATAGATACCTGAAAACCAGTAATAAAGATGTTATTGTAACTTCTTTACATCAATTTAACAGCCACCAGTACCACCAAGCATTATCCAACTTGGAAAACCAGTGGTTGCCGCACTCGCAGCAACAGAAGCCGCCGCCTCTGCATTTGCAGGAAACACATCTCTCTCATCCCGCATATCACATCACATATTCAACACACAAAGCAACAACAATAAATAAAACCATGCCACAAACTAAAACTCACCCACATATCCTATAAGGGCCTATGCTATAAGTGCTTGATTAAAATATTTATACTAAAAGGGCCATATTTCTAAACCCAATTCCATAGATTTCACTAAATTTTCCAATCCAACATCAAATCACATCAATAGTTAATAGAACTAAATGCTCTCATAGAAAATCATAGAAAATCTCACGTCTACCATGTTATAATAAATATTTAAATGCCTCCAAACAATAACTTCAAGCTGATTATAGTAAACCATTAACGTGAATTCAGAAGACAGTAGAAAGTATTAACGGCATAAATATGTATATGCATGTAATACTATGAGAAAGATGGCAAAATTGAATTTTATAGCATAAAAATAAAAGGTGTGCATCCTAACAAGCACAATTCCATAGTGAAAATAAATAATAAGAATCTCGTTTCTGTAGATTCCAAAACAAAGTTTTTCATTGAGTTAGATTTCACACCAAGTAAACACAGTCAACATTGAAATGTAAAATACATACAGAATCCATACCAAAGTATGCGGTAAAAGATTTATGGTGAACAAATGTAATCTCCGAATCACATATAAATGCCACAATCACATATAAACCTTATTTTAATGCCAAAGCCTCAATTTAAATATATGAAAAACCATGACACCGAACACGACACCAATTCGTTGACATCAGACACGACACCGACTCGTTGACAACGGTAATAATTTGAAAAAATTAAAAACCACATAATCACAAATGTGTAGCTGTCAGTCAGGTGGAGGTCGGTGCTAGAGATATTTAAACATTTTCAACTTCTTAAATAAAACTGATGAATAGAGAAAATAAAACTACACAACTTCAAAATTGACTAAATCAACAAATCTATGGTAACATTCACAACAAATCTATCGTGATGGTTAATTTGAAGGTTTTGGGTTCAATTTTTGCTGATGGCAATTTTATCATATTATTAAATTAGTGAAATTTAAACATTACATATATTTTTTGGGTTACTTATCACTATAATTATTTTAACTTTTAATTTTCAAAAGTAAATGCAATAATAACCATAGAAATTATATAATTGCTACATATAAAACATAAAAAAGCTATTATTTAAAGTAAATTTATTAATACAAATTTGAACTTAATAAAGTAGAATATCATTTACACATTGTATTTTGTCCATTTTTAATATTATTTACTGATATATTATTCTAATATTTTTTAGTTTTTATTAATTATAGATTTTTGATTATTGCATTCTTTCAATTTTTAATTTTTAATATTTTTGCAACAATTATAGAATTTTTTTAGCTATAACTATGTTTTGAAAAAAATACACAAATAACCGTGTTTTGGAGAAATTTATGCAAATGATCGTGTTTCAGAAAACGTTATAATGCAGTAGTCATCTCAGATGGCGTATGCATTGATTTTTTTAAAGGAGACGCGAAGTGAGATGGCGCCTAGCAATTTCATAATTTTTTTCAATTTTTCTATTTACCTGCGGAGTTTCCTGCAGATTTAACTTTTCCTGCATATTTATTTGCGAATTCACCTGCGGAATATTTACGCGCAGGTAATTTCATAGAAAAATCCACAGGTAATATCATATCTGCAGGAAAAATGACATGTAACTGAGAAAGTTTGAAAAATATATATGAGGCATCAATTCAAGTCCTCTTAATTCACTTTTTTTAAAACATAGTTATTTGCGTAACTTTCTCTGAAATATAGTTATTTTTATTTTATTTTTTTTAAAACATGATTAGTACTAAAAAAACATTCACAATTATAAGATCCTATAAAATATGTATTAAATATGATTTATATGCACTAATTTTTTTTAAATGATTGTTAAATGAAGGCTATATATATATATATATATATATATATATATATATATATATATATATATATATATATATATATATATATATATATATATATATATATATATATATATATATATATATATATATATATATATATATATATATATATATATATATTGAAATTATCTTATAAAAAATGAGTTTGAATCTAAAACTGCAATAAATAAATAAAAATCGTTTAACATTAATTAATGTAATGTGAAATGAGTAAAATAATTTTTGATAAAATCTTAATGAGAAACTATTACTTATTATTATTAATATTTTTTTAAACCTCTCAATTATTTTTATAAAACTAATAAGTAGTAAAATTATCTTAATGAAAAATAAATTTGAATTTAAAACCAAAAAAAAAAATTGGTAAAATTTAAACAAAGACTATTACTATGTTTAAATCTATTTATAAAAATATTTTTTATTTTATAAGAAAAATATATTATTTTATTTTAAAAAATTAAAAAAATATTACAAAAGAAAATCCACAGAAAAGTTTCCTGCGGATTTTACTGTGGATTTCTTTACACAATTTAGTTTCCACAGGAAATCTGCAGGTCTACCTGCGAAACTGATTTCCCCGAGAAATTCCGCAGGAAAATAGTGTATATCTTGCCTTGGGAAATTGCTGGATTGAGACAAGTACCACTATAAAAAGTTGCCTCATTAACAACCTGGATAATCACCATCCTATTACTGTTGTTGATCTTGTGAACGACCCGATGTGAATGAGACTCGTGTAGGCTAAGGTTTATGTTTCCGGAAGCTATTCTTGCAAAGATTTTCGCCATTCATCCCATATAATAGAAATGGGGAGAGATGTCAGCACAGCACAGGTAGAATGGAGCCTTCACTACCAAAACAATGGAGCCTTCACTACCAAAACCTCTTATGAAGCCTTAACTGATGAGGTCTTCAACGATCAGAAGAGCCAATGGAAGAAGATCTGGTTGTTAAAGGTTTCTGAGAGAATTTGTGTTTTCATCTGGAAAGTTCATTGGGAAGGCTTGAACACAAAGAAATTCCTAGCTCAGAGATACCTTTATGATCCTATATGCAACGACTGTCGGGGCCAAGAAGAAACTATATACCATGCTTTAAGAGATTGCAACATCATAAAGCATGTATGGCTAAACATGGTGGATAACTCCAATCATGTTGTATTCTTCAACTCTAATTTGCAGGAGTGGCTCACCCTCAACATGAACAACAATCTCAGTAGGAGAAATGATCTGCAGTGGCAAGAATCCTAGGCCATTGCTTGTCACTGCATATGGATGTGGCACAACAGAAGGAAGTTCGATGACCATTTTATCATGCCTTCAAATATGGTGGCAACTATTTGGAAAATTTTGCATCAATAATAGCATTGAGTTGAACCGTAAAAGCAGCATAAGACCAACCACAGTGGTCTTTATTGAGTGGAAACCTCCGGATCTGGGTTGGCTCACACTTAACACATATGGGGCGGTTAAAAAGCATGCTATAGCTAGCCGTGGCAGGGTTTTGCGCGACAATAGAGGAAACTGGATAAGGGGATTTACCAAAGGTTTGAACAGAAGTAGAACTTTGGGGAATTCTGGAATGTCTAAAAAATATCCATAACAAAGTTGACATGAATTTATGAGTTCAAACTAATTGCAGACAAGCCTTTGAAGCCATTACAAGAGGTAACAAGATAGAAAGCCTTAGAGAAAACTTGGTGAGGTTGATCCACAAAGAGTTGTGTTGCTTCAAGAAACAAACATAAAGAATATTCGAAGAGAGGCAAATTGTTGCGCTGCCAGACTAGCGAAGATTGGTGTTAGACACAACTTGAAATATCAATTGTATGATAATTATCCCATAGATGTCCTTAAGGTGTACATTGATGACTTGGAGGGTGTTGCCAAGCAAAGGATAGTGTCGAGTAGTTTTGGCCTTTAGGCGTCTTTTTTGATGAAAGAAATTAGAGAAAATATTTAACTATAACGGCTAAAAACAAATATATTCTAATTTAAAATTGAGGTAGCACTTGCAGATCTAAATATTGATTCTTCATTCAATAGTCTTAGCACATTGTTTAAAATTAAAACCTTATAAGGTTGAGGATTATCCAAAATATCCACCTTTACCAACTAAGATAGATTAAATTCAACCAACCAACGTCACAACATTCGGAATCAATTTTCATGCAATTCTAATTATTCCATCATTGTGATGCACATGGTACCGTAGAATTCTCCTATAAGATAAATATATTTTCTGTGTATTTCTCATCACTACCGAGTAGGCATGGCAACGGGGCGGGGCGGGGACGATTTTTATATTCCCCAACCCTAAACCCGAATCTCAGATAAATCCCCATTCCCCGCCCCGATCCCCGTCGGGGATGAATAATTGAACCCCAAATAGGTTGGGGATCCCCGGCCCAAACCCAAATCTAAAACTTGCTTTAACCCAAATCCTTCCCCGAACCCAAAAATCGCCCCGAACTCAAAACCCGCCCCAATTCTAACAAATATGAACTTATATTACAAAAGTAAAATACAATCTTAAAGAATTTCAAACATATATTTCAAATAATAAAAAAATACAAACGAAAGTATTAATTCAGTAACCATACAATTAATATTTCAAATTAACAAAACCAAATAATCCAAAATATAAAAACTAAATAAAAAAATACAAATTCATATTCCAAACAAACACATAGTAAAAAGTATTCTACATTCCAAAATACCAACAAAACAACCACATTCTACATTCCAAAACAACCACATTCTACATTCCAAAATACCAACAAAACAACCATATAACTAAAAGTATTCAATATCGTTGTCTATGAAAATTGCTAACAAAAATAGATAAGTGGCCAACACCAATATTGTCTTCTTTCTAAATGCTATTCTCCGTCTTCAAAGAGAGAAATAACACCACTAGTCAATAGCTCACCTATATAAAAAATATAAATTAAAATACAAACATTAATAATAAATAAGAATAAAATTCAAAACTTGGTTACTCTTATATTCTAATAACAAATTGGTTACTAACAATCCACATTAGTCACTTCATATTAGAAAATAATAATAAATAAATCAAAAGAAACTTTTACCTTCTTCATCGGGCTCTATTTCATCGAGTAAAGTTGTGTAGTCATTGCTTAACTTAGAACTCATACCACCTAAAAATGTGAATAGTAATCAATTAATAAATACAAAGTTATATGTCATTTCATAATATATAAAAATTGACAAAATAATATAAAAGCATACCACTATTTTCAGTACTCCATAACCAGCTTCTAGCACACATCAAAGCCTCTAAAGTTGTCCAATGAAGTCGGCTACGATGTGGGCTTAAAATATGACCGCTAGTGCTGAATGCAGATTCTGAAGCTACTGTAGAAATAGGAATTGCTAAAATATCTTTTTCAATTGCTTGGAGTGTTGGATATTTGATGCCATTTAACTTCCACCACAATAGAATATCAAAATCAGGACTTCGCGGTAAAACTTCCTCTTCCAATAATGATCCAATTCTGTTTTAACATATGAAGTTCTAGCTTTTTTTTCTTCCGAACATATGCATCATAATCATCTAAACCATCATTAGCCATCCGACTAGATTCCAACATTGGTGAGTCACCACAATTCTCTTGGTTCAACTTCAATTGATAATCAGTAATTAAGTCATAACATAGTTGTTGAATCCTCTTAACTTTCTCAAAAGAGTCTTGTTCATACAATTTTTCATAATAGTATTCAAGTAACTCCATTTTGTATCTAGGATCCAAAACACTAGAAATTCCCATTATGTCATGGGTGACACTCCAATATTTATCAAATTTTTGCAACATCTTGTTAGTCATTTCTTTGATCGATAAATTGGAAGAGTTAATCCAATCAGATATTTCCAATTTAATCTTACAAATCTCAGGAAAAAACATGTTGGCAGTGGGATACTTAGTGCCAGAAAAGATTTCAGTGATTTTATTGAACAACTTCAATCTTCCACAAACATCTTTTGCAAATTTCCATTGTGAACTAGTTGGAACACAAGTGTATCGAGTGTCACGTAGCCTTAAACGACTAAATACATCCTCATACAAAATAGCAATGTCAAGAATTTTATAGGTGGAATTCTATCTAGTCGGACAATCTAAACATAAAGTTTTAGTGCAAGAAATGTGCAATTGCTTAGCTGTCTCCTCAAATTTTTCTTTTCTTTTAGGAGTTGCAGTCCAATAAGCTACACTATCCCGAATCTTTTCTATTCCATATTTCACTACTTCTAAACCATCATTTACTATCAAATTTAATATGTGTGCGCAACAACGCATATGAAGTAAAGATCCATCCCTCAACAAAGTACTTAAATGCAACTTCTCCTTAATTTTTTCCATCACAGCATCATTTGTGCTACAATTATCTAAAGTGATAATTGACAATTTTGTATCGATATTCCAGTCCATTAAACACTTAACTAAAGCAGCACAAAGTCTATTACTTGAATGAGGAGCAGAAATATAAATGAACCTAGCATATTAATAAAATTCAAAATATGAAATAAATGAAGCTAACATATTATATTTATGCTTAAACTAGACATAAAAAATTGTAATTACCTCAAGACGCAACTCTGCAAATTCCAAGATCCATCAATATAATGTGCAGTAACAGCCATACATCCCTTTTTTTGATTGCTTGAAGTCCACATGTCTGAAGTAATCGCCACTCTTGCTTGAAGACTATCTAATGACTTTGAAGTTATTGTCTTCTCAATCTCGTACACTTTAAATATCTCCTTCCTAATAGTATTTCTACAAGGAACATGAAACAATGGTTGTAGAGAAGCAACAAATCGTTGAAAACCAATATGATCTACAATTGAAAGTGGATACTCATGCATAATTATTGCACGTGCAAGCTCTTTCCTTGATTTTTCAGCATTATAATTACCAACTCCCAATTCTTGCTTTCCTTGCGAGTTATTTGGCATGAGAAATGTTTGTCCTTTTGTAGTCTTGTTCTCATGAATTTTGCGATGAATGCATGTCTCCATATGTTGAAGCAAGTGTTTCGTTCCATTGATCGATTTTCCACCAAGAAATTTCTTGCAATATTTACATTGAGCCTTACCCTCGCTATTAACTTTCACCTTTATAAAATGATCCCAAGTCTTACTCCTAAGTCTTTCTTTCTTTGTTTCTGCCAATGCCTCTATATTATCACTTGTATCTATTCTATCAGTTGTCTCATCAATAGGTGTTTCAATTGTTTCCTTCGGTGATGTCAGGCCATTAAGCGAAGAGTTGAAACTTTCTTCCATGCCGGGAGTTAATTGGTGTGCACTATCTTGTGAAATAAGTGGATCGATGTTACCAACATTTTCCATGTTTATCTCCTGTTGCAACATATAAAATACAGACGGTGAATAACATATAAAATAGATATTGGAGGCTCATAATTCATATGTGCTCATGTTTTTAACAAATTTAATTTTAAATATACTAATAAATATGAGACAAGCTTAAAAATGAAAACTTTATTTGGCTTACTTGTTTTTGAAAATTGTTTGTTAGGATTGATTTCAAAATTGTTGTTTTCAAAACAGAAAAATGAAAACTAGTATATGCTGTTTTGAAATTTAACTCGGCTTGCATTTCCTCTGCTTGAAAACTAGTATATCAATCCACCAACATTGTATTCCTTGGCTTGCATGGTACATTGATATGTGATTAATCTGGTTTTTTTAAAATAAATAGAGACCACACATAGCACATGTGACCGAAAATGGAGTAAGACAAGCTCCACACATAGTCTTGAAATATGAGAACAATGGAGAAAAAGTAGTTCAAAGTGAAACATATCTTTCATATCCTGGAATATGAGACTTGTATTCATACTAAAATAAAGATTTTGCTTAGAATAATTTTGCTTACTATAATCACATTCTTCTACAACCACAATAAATATTCAAGATTTAGAAGTAAAAATAAGAAAATAAGAAGAACAAAACTTACAACAAAAATAATATTGATGAGGAATTGAGGATGTCAAGATGGTGAGCCATCCAGGTGAGATGGTATCAATAATGATAATGAATGCCTTCTAATTGAAAATGAAATGGTAAAACAAGTTCAATAATGAGACTTTTAGAAAAGTGAAAGAGATATAACTCATTACTGAACCATAAAAGCTTGTTTTTAGATTTCTAAAAGTCTTTTAATTGAATAAGTCTATAGGTAATCCAACGTAAATGTAATGAGATTGACATTGAGAAGTGGAAGGGTTAAAATAATAATAATAATAATAATAATAATAATAATAATAATAATAATAAAAATAATAATAATAATAATAATAATAATAATAATAAACAGGGCGGGTTCGGGGACGGGTTCGGGGTGGGTACTACACTCCCCATTACCTGCCCCATCCCCATATTTTAAAAATCGGGGAAAACCCAAACCCGAACCCAGTCAAAGCGGGTTTTCCCCGTCAAATTCGGGGCGGATACCCACGGGTATGGGTTATATTGCCATGTCTACTACCGAGGGTATATATAGTACATGGAGTTGATCTAATTTTCTTAATATGAGCATAATTACATGTAAGCTAATAATTACAAATTGATTACAAAATAAATACAAAATAATTATATCATACCCCCGCAGTCGAAGTGGAGGTCGAGAAACACTTAGACTGTTCCAAAAATCATCAAAAGCAACTCTAGGAAAATCTTTGGTAAATATATCATCAATCTTGTACTGAGAAGGAACGTGAAGAATGCTTGTGATGATGATGTCAGTCCCTGAGGCGAGCGACGATGATTATATGGGGAGCACGATTGGGATGGAGTTTGGTCATCCGGAGGTTACACCAATATGGAGGCATGGGGATGTAGTTCGACGAAAAAGGTTTGCCGACCATAGACAGAAAAATTTGGCCAATTGAGTGGTGACAGTTGATATTGCTTAATAAAGTCTCAGGCCAAACGACGACGAAAATCTAGGCAGATCTCACGATTCTAATTCTTATTCTTAGATCTGTTTGTTAATGTGTCATATTTTAGGCCCGTTAAGATTTTGACCATTATAATTGTGGTTCCCTCTCATTTGTTTCTAACATGATATGCATAAGGTAATAATCCTAGTGAGAAGGAAAATGGTATAAATTCCTAATATTATATTCTTTGTGTTTTGTAATCTTTTGGGGTTATCAAAAGGAATTGGAAAACACTTTAATCATGTTAAATTTGAATGAATCTTATATTGAGGCTTAGAGAGATTGGAAAACATTCAGGGATAGAAAATAGGGTTTAGATTGGAAACTCTAAAGACTATTTTGTTGTCACTCATATTGTTACCTCTTGTAATAACTTTCGGAAGTCATAGATTTGTTAGATCAAATTGAATAAACAATTTTCACAATGTTCTAGCCCTTATAATTTTGTATTCCAATGAATTTATTTGGTTGGTTGTCATTGTTTTTTGTCCCGCACATCATAATGTTAGTTTGTTGAACTTTAATTTTTAAATAGTTTTTCACCACAAGGGTGTTCATCCAAAGTGAAGTGATGTGCAAAAGTTTATCCATTAACGCCCCAAAACCTCATGTGGATGAATTACGTTATGTTAACTATTACAACAACCTATGATATGCAAAATCTGGTTAGGGTACTAATTTTAAGAAAATAAAATTTGGTTAGGGTACTAATTTTAAGGAAATAAGAGATATTACTGTAGATTATCCTTGCTAGTGCTTTGGCCTCTATCCACTTGGTGAAGTTAACAAAAACTACACTTAAGTAGTTTTGTTGGCAAGATGGCACTTCATGCGAAGGCCCGTGGTGAGGAGAGTGCGATCATCTCAATAAGTAGGATTGCTTGTATGTATTTACATATTCTAGCACCTTTTCCTCTCCCCTTTGACACGTAACCAAATTGTATCTTCTACATTACTATTAACAGAGCAAAAATATGAAAACCTTGATTTTTCAAAAATAAATAAAAGACCCCTGTAATTTTGGGAAGAGAGAATTTAACTTTCTATTATTATTAACTTTTAGGTTTAATTATACTTTTAGTCTCCCTAATTTATCTGATTCATGAAATTGGTCGCTCTATTTTAAATTTAAATAGTTTTGGTCTCCCTATCATACTTTTGCTCTAAATATTACTGTAGATTGTCTTTGCTAGTGTTTTGGCATCTATCCACTTGGTGAAGTCAACAAAAACTACACTTAAGTAGTTTTGTTGGCAAGATGGCACTTCATGCGAAGGCTCGTGGTGAGGAGAGTGCGATCATCTCTATAAGTAGGATTACTTGTATGTATTTATATATTCTAGCACCTTTTCCTCACCCCTTTGACACGTAATTAAATTGTATCTTCTACATTACTATTAACAGAGCAAAAATATGAAAATCTTGATTTTTCAAAAATAAATAAAAGACCCATGCAATTTTGAGAAGAGAGAATTTAACTTTTTATTATTATTAACTTTTAGGTTTAATTATACTTTTAGTCTCCCTATTTTATCTGATTCATGAAATTGGTTGCTCTATTTTAAATTTAAACAGTTTTGGTCCCCCTATCATACTTTCCTTTTAAAATTAACGATGTTTCTATTTTTTAAATGACGAGTTACTTGTGAAATATGAGAATGTTGGGGGAAGATACTAGGAGAATTGATACATAGTGTAGGAAAATGCACCTTTGTGATAGGCACACCACTAATCCACCTAAAACCTTAATGTGATAGGTGAGTGGATTCTCCCACTTATATATGCTTAAGTCTCCATATTCCTATCTAATGTGAGACTATTTCCCCACTTACTCACACTTGCTATATTATTCCACCACTTCCCCTCAAGTGTGAGTCCACAATGCTCCCCCACTTGTACCGCCATTGACATCTTGCAACGGAACACCACTTCCTTGGTGCATTTCGATTCAAGTCTCTTCCGGTCCCTTTCTCGAACCAAAGACTCATGATACCATGTTGGGGGAGATACTAGGAGCATTGATACAGTGTAGGAATAAGGGAAATAGTCTCACATTGGATAGGAATGTCGAGACTTAAGCATATATAAGTGGGAGAACCCACTCACCTATAACCTTAAGATTTTAGGTGGATAAGTGGTGTGTCTCTCACAAAGGTGCTTATTCCTACACTATGTATCGATGCTCCTAGTATCTCCCCCCAACAGAGAAATCATCAAATATAAACCAATTGTTAAAATTTATAGACAGAAATATAAGTTATAAAACAAAATTCTCATAGTTTTTCATGAAAAAATGTAAGAGGGGAAATAAAATTGTTGGAGTTTATAATAGGGGCACTAAATCAGTTTGAATTTAAAATAGGGGGACAAATTTTGTAAATCAAGCAATATCAAGGGACTAAAACTTTAATTAACCTAACTTTTATAAAGGTAGTTTTTTTTAAATCTAAATGGGAAAAGAAAAGCATATATATTTTAAGTAAGTGCTAAATTAACAAAAGTTATATTGATTTTTTTAAGGCAAATTCTTAAAGTGATTCATACACTAGTTTTAACAATCACAAAATTACAAAGAAAAATAGTTTACATACAAGAATAAAAAGCTAAAGAACTACCTAAATATAAAGCTTAAGTTCGACGCAATTATCTTTTAGCTCATACTTTATTTTAATGATCCCAACGGTCAAAAGGTAGATAAGGGTGTTGTAAACATGTCCTCCAAATTTGAGCGCGATCCAACAGTTAACAAATCTAATATTGCTGATTTAATGAGACTGGTTGCAGAAAAACGAGAATATGTTTCTCTCTTCTTTTATCTCTTTTGAATCCTTATTTTCTCTCTATCTATCTCAACCCTAAATTGACTATTTCCACTTAAATAAGTGAGACAAATAAGATAGTTATATTTGGGCCTTTCTCCACATAGGAAGGGAGCCTAAACCCAATAAAACTCCCCCTTTCAACTATGTGGAGGAAATCGCCAAATCGACGAAATGACAACTGAAAGTGCGAGAAACACAAGAAAGTGGGGTTAAATTTGGTTGCACCAAATTTAATCTTTTTGTAAATCAAAACACAAATATAACAAGTGAATAAAAATAGATAAACACAATTATTTTTATTCTGGTTCACTGTTAACTAAGTTACTCCAGTCCACCCCGCAAAGTGATTTGCCTTATACACAAGGACTTAATCCATTATAATCAACCAGATTATAGACAACCACAATAAGTTCGATCAACCCTATTGGAACTACCTCAATAATTTTGTTGATCCTTATTGCAAACCTACTATGACCGCAACCAAAGTCTTCTTGAGAATCCAGACTATACAGAGTCTCTCAAGGAACCTATCATAAACAGTTAATTATAAAGATGTGTATACAAA